TATTTATTTATGAAACTATCAGGACAAGCTTTTTTTTGTTTGTTTAAATGAGGAAACTGTATTCCTGAGCTGAAGTAACAGCATCAGTCCAGAACTCTACAGTACTTTTCAAATCAAAGCACCAAACTGTTGTCCAGCATACAAAACAATACGTGGATTTATCGTAGCAACACTCATTCTGATCACAGCAGTGTGCTGTACGAGACTTTGCACCACAATGTCTCTGGAAGACCTCAGCGTATACTTCGAATCGGACGAGAGTGACGACGAGGCCAAAAAACTCTGGAGTTACGGTGAATCTGACGACGACGGCAGCGAGGCGAATTACCGGGATCTTGTTTGCCTGCATGACAATCTGGTGAACTTTGAAAACATCTACTTAAACAACGCAATTATAGACATGGAGGTAAGGTTATTTTAGGTGATTAAATAGTGTTATAGCTGAAACATTGAATAGCTTTGTATTTTATGCCACAATAAATGATAAATGATGTTGGTGGCAGAAATGATTTCTTTATTCTTTAGCACTACTTGGTGAGTGAGGGTGGACAAAGCTTTGAAAATGACAGCAGAGACTCTCCAATCGCTCTGATTCAAGACTATATGGAAAGCACTGAAGAGCTGTTGCCCAGCAGTTCCTCCTCATTACCTTCTGTTGTACCACCTGAAGCTGCAGCGAGCCCAGACACAGATGACTCGGAGAACTCTACTGTGAGGTTGCTCCAAGTTTTAGAAGATTTTACCCAGGTGTTTCAAAACATGCTCGCCTCATTCTCCTCCACTTCATCAGACTCAAGTGAGTCAGATTTACAGGGGACCTACTGGGATGACATAGACACCTCGGAATGAAAATCTAGAGCGCTAACCTCGATGGTGTGAGCAATTATCCAATAAACAAGTGCATCATAGTCTTCATGCCAATTATTTTATTTCTGTAGGAAGTACAGAAGTAATTTTTTGTAGCCGGGTTAAACTATAAACATTTTATTTATTCCATGGCCAGAAGAATTAAAAACCCCCAAAATGAGCCAATGACACTCAGATTTTAACAAACTCAGTCCAGATTTAACCAGAAAAGAGCTTTTAGAGCTTTATTTGATGGTAATGGTTTTAATTTTGAAGAAATTAATAAAACTATGGACAAAATTAAAGCCATAGAGTTTTTGTTGTTTAAATTTTGGCTAAAGAGGGTTATGTATTCACAGTTCTCACACAGAAAACAATCTATGCTGTTAGGTTAGAGGCTTTAGCACAGATTACCTGGTATTCAGGCATTTTGTGACATTGACACTGTTTACTATAGTTAGGAAAAACTCAGTGTGTCACCTGACCGCAGATACCAACTTGTCTTCAGTGGCACAGATTAAAAATGTTCTAGGTACATGTAAACTTGTGAAACTGAACTGTGTTCACCTCGGGGCTGAATGAAACCAGTTCTCAAATGTTCACTCTCTATCAATCATCCCTTTGTTGCGCAGATCATAAAGAGGTTTTTTGGGGGTGAATTTTGAGCCAAAGACACTCCTATGTGCCTTAAAGAAACGCAGCATTGTTCTGCCAGATCCAGCCTTCTGCTACACAGTGTGTCAGAGCTTGTAGACACTGTGTTCTTGCCAAAGGTTTGGGTTTTGTTATGATCTCTTGCAGTGGTTATGCATTACTGTGCCACAAAAGAGACATGACAAACTGTAGGTCATGTTCCCACCTACTCCTGTATTTACCACCAGTCTGCTCTTCGTCTTACTGTAAAAGAGGTCTCTTTTTTGTTTTTTAAACTCCCTTTTCAGCCCTCCTTGCTCTTTATTCTGTCTTTTGTCAAACATTTCAGTCATTTTTAAACATATTTTTTTAAATCTTTGTTTTAATAAAAGTAACAGATTGCTGCCTTATGCTTTATACGAATTAAAATGTGTTTATTATTTCAGAAGTCGCCTGCAGTGTTCCCCTTTACTGGGAATCCTCTACACATCTATCCAACTCAAAGCCTACGGTGCTGGATCAGTGCAGATCCAAAAGCATTTGTTGTGTCAACTTTAATTTGCAAGTTGAGTGTGACACCGTTTTGTACTCTCCAGAGAGCTTC